GCTGTCCGACTTTCAAAAATTAATTCCCATTCCTTCATGCTCGGTTCACGTCTCACTTGCTCGTATAATGTAAACATATTATGCATCATCAACTACATGTATATAGATTTAAGAAGTACATGTACATGCTTATGAAAGGTTAAGGCCCTTCTAAGTAACATTCTACAACTCCTAGAATCAGAGTATTCTGGTGTATGAGCAAACATGTCCAGGGGCCCGTCTTATAAAGATTGATCGATTGAGCCCACTTGATCCCGAACAATCGCAACTCCTCTTACCAATCGCAAGTTTGCAGTCTCCTATCTCTCATATAGTTGCGTTTGATATCAATTGAAAATAAGTTGTGATTCACATCAACCCTTTATGGCGGGCCTCTGAACTAGTTATTAGATGCCAATATGATTGTGATACAAAAATAAGTGGAAAAATATATACCTCAAGATTGTAATTTGGTATAATTATGATTCGAGCTCCCTATAATTATAACCAATCTCTTAGCTTGCTCTGATCTTATCAACAGTAACTTACCTGAGATCGGATTTAAAATTAACCATAAATAATGGCATAAAACTCCTTGGATTTGCCAATTTTGTTAATGATATCATGGAAAGAAAAGTTAAGCCTATATTGACATAGTCCATTAAACAGCATTCCATTGTAGCATGTATATACAGACATATTGCAATTCATAAGTTCACCGTGAAACTGCACCAGACTGTAGTGTAACTCATATACATGCTGCCATATCACAAACACAATTAAACACGTTCTTACCTCAAAAACTCTTTCACGTCATTTCTCTGAGCAAATGGTGATCAGGTATAACTCATGAAGAAACTCATTAAAAAATATATGAAGACTGCTAAAAGTTAGCTCGAAACGCTGAGTTCAAAAATATGTTGTTCAAATCGCTCAACGCAACTCCGTTGAACATACTGCCGCTAGACTGTTAGTACACAACATAAACCTTTCGCAAAGTTTGTTTTCCGATTCACGATATTTGTCTTTTAATCTCAAGAATAAACAGTTCGAGGTGATTCACTAAAGCGATTAAATAGAATGAAACGGACGGACAGCAATACTTATCCAAAGCTGTAATTAAACATACACTTCAAGACTTCAAACACAATATTAACCTACACTTCAAAATGTTTCCTTGTAACAAACAGATCTCATGATGACAAATCGAATTATATCATAGAGCGAACGATTCGTTTATGTGAAGCATAACATAATTATGAGGGTAATATTCGCAAGCCGTGATAAACCATTGAATTATAAAGCTGTATAAAAAAACGTGTGTTTTGCGGTTGAATTTTGCCTTTTTGTCAGGAGCAGCGAGGCAATAATTTCTAACAATAGACTTTTACGATTGTGAGGCCATTCAGACAGTGTCTATATTAAGCGTACTATACAAAAGGTGTTTTTATGTATTCATTTATTAAAAAGCCCGGTTTAAAAGGCTTTAAGAAGCTAGTTTCCTGTGAATTGTCGATTAAGTAAAATCGGAATGAAGAGACATTCTACCTAATGATATTTCCCTTTTGTTAAATCTCCCTATACTTGTTATAACTGAGATAATCCGCTTCACCGACTTGCGAAGAGGTCTTTCAAACACAACTGATAATATTTAGCGGGGGGGGGGGGGGGGGGGGGGGAGACTCAGATTTAGTTTGGGCGGGGGTGTGCCGCTCAAGCTCCTTCCAATATGTAACGCCCAGGGGGGGGGGGGGATTTCCTCTAAGTAAAGGCCCATATTTCACAATTTTGACATTAAAAAAAAACCCAGACCCATTTATAGAGCGGCACACCTCCGTTATTTCTTATGTGAGTACATATTACCCCCGCGGGCTCTTTTGAGAGCCCCATTTTTTTGTTTATTTTAAGTGTATAGTGCTAGCCTCTGCGTGTGTGTGTGTGTGTGTGTGTGTGTGAGAGAGAGAGAGAGAGAGAGAGAGAGGGGGGGTCGAATACAGCCTAGCTAAGAGAGTTTATGAGAAAAAAGAAGGGGAGGAAGAGAGAAAGAGAGAGAGAGAGAGAGAGAGAGAGAAATTAAGAGAGAGAGAGAGAGAGAGAGAGAGAGGGGGGGGGGGCTGTCATTCGGTGTAATACTGAGCTCCCATTCCTATAGTCACGAGTGTCTCGTGGTGCATATTATTGTGGTTGAAAACGAGTTGAGAGAATACGAAGCAGTGTAATTGCCAAATGGCGACCTCGGTCTCAACCAAATAATGTTAAGTACATGAAGCATTATGTGATTATTTTGAGACCCCTGGTGAGAGGAAATTCAACCTCGTCACAAAACCAAATTTTTTTTTTTTTTTTTTTGTTGTTGGTGGGGGGGGGGGGGGGGGGGGGGTGGGAATTAATTCTTTTGGTGATTTGGAAAAAAGCTATAACAAAACAGGAGGGGCAGTATAATCTGTCATCAGATGTGGAGTTGAAAAATTAAAACATTTAATGAATATTAGCCCTTATTTTGATTTTCTTTGATTTTCTTCTGCATTCATGTAAGTACATATTTTTTAGATAACAATAATAATATATAGTACAATAAGTATTTTCTGACAATTAATCATAAATAAGCAAATATGTATAAATTTTTATTTTTTAAAATGAAATGATAAACTTTAATCAATACTAAATTTCCTCAAACATAAGATTATTTGATAATACGACAGCCGCAGAAAAAAAACTCATGAAATAGATTAACACATTTATTGAGCAAAACGGATAGGTAATTAAAAATACAAATTTGTATGATGGTGATATTGACATTGCGGATGAGGATGATGATGATGGTGAATATGAATTATGATGATGATGATAATGATGATGATGAAGATGACGATGATGATAGTGATTCGAATGAAAGAAGAGATGATATCAGTATGATAAAGACTGAAGAGTTGACACAGACATTTTTACCTTGAATATTTTGATAATAACATCGTTTTAACTTTGGCCTATATGAGGGAGCAACATGATTTATAATATATTCTGGGAGAGAGCTCCATAAGTCCTGGACCATGGTGTCTTATGGATCTATGGGCAATAAATAATTTCGGGTTTACTAGATGAAAATTTAAGGAATTACGGATAGGGTAAGAGTGAATGGCTTTATTCATAGTGTAAACGTTTTGAAATGAAAGAAGGTGCATGTTATACTTAAACATGATCAGTATACTTTGTAGCGAATTTATGTTCAATACTGGTTGGGTTTTCAGTTTGTAAAATATTCGACTTGTTTGAGATAATGAACCAGTACATACACGAAGGGATTTCTTTTGCAATAATTAAACAGATTTGATTTTGGCGCTGGTGCCCATACAAGCGTATAACATGGCATTAATTTCTTAATTGTATATAATATACTAACATTCCTGGAAAAATAAGTAGTGATATATCGTATATGTTCATTCCAATTTAGATTTTCATCGATAATGACACCCGAAAATGTTGTTGTTCTCTTTCTTTCGAGAAGGACATTATCTATAATTATAGGGAAATTAAGTCAATGACATGATAATTTTAACTCATTGCATTGAAACCATTATGTTCGTGTCATCAGCAAACAGCACAACTGATAATAAAGGTGTTCTTGGTTAAATCATTATTATATAATAGAAAAAGAGCAAAGGGCTTAAAATTGATCCTTGAAGATCAATTGAAATCGGGCATTCTTTGAATTTGGGGATTTTGGGGGGAATTTTGTTCTCATTTTGGCACGTGCGTGGGCCTAACATTGATTACTGTGTGGACGAAGCCTTTGAGTGGCTTACGAACCTCGATTATTAATTCATTCTGTCACTGTCTCCTCGGTGCTCGATCAAGATTATCTGCTTATTTTAAGTCGCAACATTCCCCTTTCCTCTTCACGGTTGCCAGGTCTGGTCCCTCCCCCCCCCCAAAAAAAAAAACCCTCACAAAACGGCATGTGAAAATCCAACAAATTTATAGAAAACAAAATTAAGAACGAACAATAAATTGACAAGCAAGAACGAGCATTATATTTCGACGGTTTAATAATTGATAATTAACGCCTATGATTAAAAAAAAAAAAATTCTTTATATTTCTTCTATTTTTAAGATAAAATAGGCCTACATGACGATATGTTAACATGATAATATAAGATAACATGAAAAAAACAATCACAATCATGCATGTGAACATAAATGGAAATGTATTAGAAAATGGCGGAGAAAAACCCTCCCTCGGAACATGCAGGAATCATTCCATAAATTTGGGTAAAAATAACTATCCCACCTCAACAGTGTACTTCTACTACCGGGCCTATGCTGCTGCTGTTGCAATCTTCTCCCGGGAGGTTTGAATAATAACAAAAAAAATGTTGATATATGGCCTAGCTAATACCTCTATTATAATAAAAATGTTCATATTGATAGAATAGTAAAGGTAAAATGAGGGTGGGGGCAGGGGCGGACCTATGGGGGGGGGGGGTTTCGGCGGTTTAAACCCCGCCCCGCCCCGCCCCCCCCCCCCCCCCCGCCCCCCTTGGGAGGCCAAGTGAAAAAAAAGAAGTAAAACAGTAAAACGGCGCGATTTTTGGAAAATCCTGCATCCGCCACTTGGTCAACCCCCCCCCCCCCCTCCTTGGCAAAAAGCTAGATCTGGGGGGGGGGGGGGAGGGGGTGTTACCCCAGCCACCACAATCCCAACGCTTGATTTCCCGGAGACGAGGTTGCCGTACCTTGACGTTTCGTAATCAAAGCGCGCGCTATTATGTAACAAAGTTCACTCACTAGCTCAGTACGATGTATACAGTCATGATGTGCGCTAACTCTACGTGCACGTGATTACTCTATTGTGCATCTTACCAGCCCCAGCTGACCGAGAGGAGCTCCCGACATTTGCCAAAAATTGTTCCACACATTATTATCCGACATGGCTCCTAAAAGTAGACTCTCCCAGCGAAAAGCCGCAAGAGGAACCCCTGTACTCACGGCTGGTAGTGATAGATCTACAATTTCTGCTTCGAAATCATCAAAGTCAAAGTCAAAGAGAGTGAAAAAGGTTTGTTGTTTGTGTTTGGTCAGTTGGCATGGTTGGTGCAGACAGAACATGACAGCTGCAGGTGCGGGCCAGCTAGCCACGGCCAGCGACCGGGCACGGGGATCTCCGATCTTGGGCACACGTAGACCCTAGGCCATAGCTGCATTACTATTCCTGGCTGTGTATTAAAACCTGTTCTATTGATTCTCAACATTTCAAAAAACTTCTTCTTCTTAGTTGATCCCTCCACTGATTTCACTCAAATTTGGTAGACTAGGCCTAGGCCTACAAGTTTAGTGACAATTGCAGGGCTGTCATCAACTAGATTTCTAAACTCTAACTGTTGTTAGATCTAGATCTAAGTTAGATCTAGTCTAATTTGGGGAACTGCTTTGCCTTTGAAGTTTGAGGGAGAAGACGTAGACCTAGGTCTATGCAATTTTTTGTTGTTGGCTCAACAGGTGGTTAGGCCTTAGGGTTAGGATTTTTTTTTATTTTTTTTTAAATTTTTTTTTTAATTTTTTTTATTTATTTTTTATTTATTTATTATTTTTTTTATTTTTTATTTTTTTTTTGGGGGGGGGGGGGGGGGGGGGTTGTGTTCATTAAAAACAAAAAAAATAGTTGAAGTGCTCAGTACATACGCATTAGCCTTGACTCCCTATGCATTGCTGGATAGACCTGGCCTGTCTTGCAAGACTTAACTTCATCTTCCAGGAAAAGTACAGTCCACCGTCTGGTGTATCATAGGCAGGTCTAGACAGAAATAACCATCTGATTTGGGTCATTTCTTTAATAAAACTGACATTTGTTGTCATTCCCCAATACAGATGGTAACCCAGAGATCTCGTACCGTGGGGAGGGCTATGAACATCTTTTCGTTCACGACATTTTATTCCCGATTTTCTTTATTTAGATCTAATTTTCTGATTTCTAAATCAGATGTAAATTAGGTCGGTATGTCACTTGTCCTAATTGCAGTTATCAAAATTTGATAACTTAATATTAAATGTATAATTTACGGACTTACTTATATGAATTATCCAACTTGTATGTCTGAACTGTGAAACGGTACGTTCATGCACTCGAACATAGGGCTATATGACCCGGCGGCCAAAATATGTCGGGTCAACCTACCAAAACATAGCCAAATGGCCAATCAGAGCACTCGTTTCGTGGGAGTTCGTTGGTCAAGCCGGGCTGACTCGTACAAAGGTACGGTAGCTATTGGACGTTCGAAAAGAAAAAATGAATATTCATCAACTAAAACCAAGACGGATAATGTTGACGACGAGACTTTCTCGGATTAATCATTAATTTAGGATCTAAATCAGCAAGCTATCGTAAGTCAAATAAGCTATATAGATTTCTATATGTTATTTTTAATTTTTATTATAATTGCCGCAGTTATGAGGATGTAAAGAGTGAAAATCTTGTTGCATATCTCATTCATCGCGGTCCGGTCGAACCGAACCATTTGTTCCGTACAGTCCCGTACAGTCCCGGATAGGCCATACTTCAGTCTCTATAATCGGAGGTCTAGTGGAGCCAGACGTAGTCTCAGTGGAACAACCGACGATTAGAGAGACTGAAGCTTTCGGTCTAAGGCAGGTCTAGACCGAATTTTTCGTCTCTTTCGTTCGTTAGCCTCTTATTGGGGTACGGTCGGCTCTCTCTTTAGAGACCGAAACAGACTATCCCGCGAAATGTGTAATTTAAATGTCATTACGAACTCGTAGCTCGTGCACATAGTTTTTCCGTTATAATCATTTTGCCTTCGGCGTAGACTAGAATGGATGAGATTTAGATGACATCATGCGCAGCGAGAGTTTAAACCACCGCTGCAAGATTTTTATCATGGATTTCGATTTTGACCCATAATTTCCTAAAAATGGACCTTTAAACGGAACATTTTAATCAAGTTGGTAAGTGGAACCGAAGTAGTTAAGCATATACCTAATTTACAATATAAAATACAGCGGATATGCATTCTGTGAAAGGAGTAATTCGGGGATAAGTTTTGCAAATTTGGTGCACTGATTAGTCCACATAACCTACACATTTCGCGGGATAGTCTGTTTCGGTCTCTAAAGAGAGAGCCGACCGTACCCCAATAAGAGGCTAACGAACGAAAGAGACGAAAAATTCGGTCTAAGGCAGGTCTGGTGTTTTTAATGTAGGTCTACAGTTGTAATTAAGAAATTCTACAATATTCTAGCCTTGTGGTGGGCTTGTCATGATAATTAATATAGACTATGCAGCTAAAACTCCTTCATCCCCTTCTAACGAAGATGAACGTTTTATACCTCGATCTTTGATCTTGCTTCTTCTTCTTCCATTTTGAGTACAGACCTCTTTTTACAGAGTATTATCGTACTATACTGGGGGTGTGTGCAGGTGGACCACTACACCGGGGTTTCCCCCTACTCTTATACGAATAGTGCAGTGGGTTCTTAATGTGCAAAGGTAGTGACTCTTCTCTACACGGGCCTCCATTTAACGTCCTATCCGAGGGAAGGAGTGTTTTCCACTCAACATAATTGCGTCTATGAACAAGGGAAGGGGCACGCTAACACACAACGCAGGCTTCAGTCATCCACTTGGGTGGGAGTCGAACCCGGGATCTTTGGTGTGACAGGCGGACGCTTTACCGACTGAGCCAACTCGCCTCCTCAAAAGCTTAGGTGGAGGTATAATACAGTTGATTCATTTGTGTCCTTCTTGTGTGGTGAGGAGTAAAAGTAAAAATAATAAGAAAGAATTGTGATATTGAATGATGTATGTGACTGTAAGAGGTAGGGCAGTCTTGTCTCCAGGAGTCCAGTAGAGTTGTGAATTTAAAGCTAAAGACCAGTTATGGTCATGCAATTGCATAGTGAAAAAAATGTTGTAAAATCGATCAGAAAAGGTTGATCATCTAGCATAGATGTACTGCAAGGTTCTGGAATCATCAAAATTATAAGAAATTTGGCCAAGTCTTCATAAAGTTAGAAGCACTGTACACAGAAAGATGTATATGGGACTACACACACGTGCGCGACACGTGCATTTGTATCTCTCAACAGTATATAGATATACTAATTTACCAAATATATCAATTAGTAGACGGTTTCCCGTCAAAATTTTTATCATCATGTAATATTCAAAACCTATTCTTTCACATGATTGGTAATAAGAGCTTCCATTTCATTTTTTGAAATCGGGGCGTTTCCAATACTGGTCTTTACTTTTAATGAAATGCCTAAATCCTCGGTCACAAATGCCATTACGAACTGCTACGAACGCCGTAAGAACGATTTTCAGACGATGGAAATTCGGGAAGACAATGGAAAAACAGAGATTCGTACAAAATTATCGTTTGTACGAACCTTTGTGACCGTAGCATAACTTACATGTAGCTCCTAACCACGTTGTTCGTTGTAACTTACAGTTTCAGTTGATGCATGGCCAAAGTCACAGGTTTGTACATTATCTTTGATTCTTGAGACAGAAGAAAATTAAGAGGGAGAGGATAGAATTTATACATGTACTAGGAACCTATGTTAATTTCTAATTATCTTTGACCTTGTCTCCTTTTTGTTGTGTGTGTATGCAGTCTGCTGTAAGTTTGAAAGTTGAGACGCCCGATAACAAACCTTTAAGAGGTACCAGGCGCTCCCCTAGAATCACTCAGAAGGTCAAGGTCTCGCTGACAAGCTCGAGGATTGAAGTCTTGAAGGAAAATGTTAAGAGAGGCCAGAAGAAGAAGGTGAAGGAGGAACAGATGGAGGAGGAGGAGGAAGAGGAGGAAGAGGAGGAGGAGGAAGAAGAGGAGATGATGGTAGATATCAAACCTCTGAAAGAAGAGCCAGACTCTGAAATGGTAAGCATTGATCAGGAAGAACAAAATCAGAAAAAATGTGTACAATTTCAAAAGAAGAAAGACCAATACATGTGATAGTCACATCACCATGTAAGCCGACACTTACAAGCAGCATCCAATACATGTAATATCTATTGGAACCGTCTTTTCTGTTAAAACATTGTGCTGAATTATCCTATGAAGGTTAACTTGGGTTTTTAATTTTCCTCAGGTTTGTTTTTGTTTTGTTTCAATTTGTCTTTGTTTTTTCTAATGGCAAAGCCAAGTTTCATAAAATCCATATTCATAGGTACTTTCATAGCTAGCTCATTTGTGCATGTTGATGAAATAGCAACCATGCCACTATATACCTGAAACTTTGAAGATACTCTGAACAAAAAATGCTTTTATTGTTGTATTTAGGCCTACATGTATACGGTATGGTTGCATTGATGGGTACTTTTTGAAAAAGAAATGCTTTAACAGTTTAACAGTGGATGTGATTTTTTTCTTTCTCATTTTTGTGGAATTTATTTAGAGTGACGGTGAGGAGCTAGAGACCCCTGGTTTATCAGAATATGAGAAGAGGAGGCTGGAGAACATTTCAAAGAATGCAGACTTCTTTGCTTCACTTGACATCTTCAAGGTCAGTTTGCTTGGGTCATAGGTTAGAGGTCATTCAGATCACTGAACTTCACTCACCTACATGTAGTAATGAGACCATTCTTTCCTTTTCATTGGATCATTTCTTTCTTCACTAATTTTGTTTTGTATAAGGGTATACACCTTTTACGTTGTACAAATTAATTTTTGGGTCTGACGTAAGTGTGCTTTTCTTCTCTTTCTCTCTCTAGTCTACCGCCCTCGGTCATCAATATACCCCACTTTGCTTACCCTATCACTCTCATGATAAAAACAACACATGTAATGTATTTATATTTTATTAATATTTCTGAATTGTTAATTACCTCACAATCTCATTGAACTATGTATCATATCTGTTGACTGTATGTTTTATAATTTATGCCTTGTTTTGGCAAATCCATTGTCCTGGGCCATATTCCTGGTATTGTATATTATACAAATGATGCATGCGCATGAGTTCATTATACGATCTATCCGCACTCGAGTTGAGGATGGATACACACAGCATCAACGAGGGCGGATGGATCGTATAATAAATGAATGAAAACATGCATCATTTGTTTTATACAACGAAACTCCTAGATCCTTGTTATTTGATGTAAAAAAAATTAATTCAAGATTGTTTCGTGACAGTTTATGGCCGACAAATAAATCTCAAGTTTTAATAAGTCTCAATTTAGTGCGCACACATAAGTATAGATATAGCAAGCACACTTACCTCTATACCCATTTACGCATAGTGCTGCGTAAGAATAGGCCAACGAACTCAATGCACACGCAGTATTAAGTGCTCTTACATCTACGCGCACTACTGCACGCTCTGAAAACGAGTTCAATAGTACTGGAAAATATTGCACTCCTTTTCATGAAAATGAGTGCAATAGGCTCAGTAAATGAATCACACGTGACCGCGCATGACCAATCATTTGATTAGGATCTGGGAGTGAGTTGTATAAATATATATGTCTGTATAATTATGACCTATTTGTAACACTGTCTATTTCGATTGGCTATAAACGCCACATCCGTCTTCTCTTCTGTATTAAATGAGTCATTGTAGGAAAACTTACTCCTTCATACTGTAGCTCTCTACTCACTGTTAACATTTGAACTTTTGACCCTTTGATCTTTCAGGCCAAGGAGAATTTCTTGGCGCTTACACCGCAGGCCCAGAAACCCAAGAGACAGACGAGAGGACTTAAGAGGTACATGTAGGCAGAGTCTGATAACTCGTTAAATTAGGAAATATCTCATTTCCTAGAGGTGTAGAGGTCTTGTGGTCTTATACAGAGGTGTTGTCATCTAGTGGATACATCACCAGACTGGATCACATGGTTCACGGTTTTGATTTCCGCCACAGCACTTAAATTTCCTTTAACAAGATATTAATCTACACTCTCCATCCAGTGCCCCATCTTACAAAGAGTTGCGATTGATCTGAATCAACCGCAAGTCTTCCAATCAATCACAATTTAGCAGTCTTCTATCTCTTATGTACATAGTTGCGACCGATATCAACTCTTTGTAAGACGGGGCCCAGGTTTATTAAATGGGTACCTGCTTTAGAAAATTTGGAAATTTGTGAATAAAAAGAACAAGAATTTGACCTTATGTCAACATTTCATACACAGTTTTTGCTCGAATTCATTTTGTGTTCGGTGCATGTTTTGTTTAGTAAGAGCTGCACAATCATGCACACAAATAGATGTACTATTCATGTGAAGGTGCTCTATCCACAATGTTTTTATATTTTTCATTTGAAATTTAGCCAGAAGAGGGAGTCTGCTCCTGTGGAACGAAGGCCGCGCTCGCTCAGGATACAGAACAAGAGCCCAGATGGAGCAGAGTTGCCTGAGAACTTTAGAGAGCCAACGTATACCCCTTATGTTTCCGATGTTAGAAGTCGTGTAAGTTAACATGTACAGGTCAACCGTAGGGTATAAGCTCTCTTAGATGGCAGGTTTAAATCCCGCTGCTTCTCAGATTTTTTTCTGATTTGTTTTCAATGACAAGATCAAGTATGTGATCTTTATCTACTTGGTGCAAGCCAAAAATTTCTTTAGGACAGTTGAAGCTTCTCCCAGTAAATGCTCAAAATCTAAAAGTACAAGAATAATGAAATGCTTTGTCCATTCTCTCTTTTTTTCCCACTTATCCATGTGTGTAAATTCGATTTTATTTTATGAATGATGTGCAATATATTGAAGTTCCCATTATTATTATTGTTATTCTTTCCTTGAACTCATTTTTGATTCTTTTCCATATTGATGTATTTGTAATTTTTCTTTATTTCTTTGAACTTTATAATCTTTGTTTGTATCAGTCTCCTGACTGTTTTAACATGGAGTTTTGATTCAATAAACCGAAATGAATGAATGAATGAATGAATGAAGCCTAACATTTATCTTAAATTGTTTCTCTCCTGATTGGTTGTTATAGGAGAGGCTGCCCTCCGACCCGGTCAAGATGGATGCCACCAATGTCAAGAAGGAGGAGAAGACAGATGCAGGGACGGACTTTGTAGAAGGTCTCGCTGCCCTCGCCAGGGGTGAAAAGACCAGTGTCGCAGCTGACGACAAGGACTTGAACAAGTAAGTTTTCTGACCTCTTTCCTGGAGAATGTACATGTAGTTGGCAATATGGATATTTATATAGCGCCGGTATCCGCCAGGCTCTGATGCTCAAGGCGCTGTACACATATTACCCTGGTTGTAGCCGAGCTGCCAAAGTAACTAGCGCTCAAGCATATCAGGTACCCATTTACACCTTGATTTTTTTCTGCTGCTCCTGCTTTTGTTTCTCCTCCTGCTTTTGTTTGTTCTTGTTCTTGTTCTTTTTCATTCTTCTTTCTGTTTCTCTTCCTTGCTTCTTCATCAATTATCTTTTTTTAATCCTTCTTGAAAGGTTTGCGTCACAACTGCAGAAGATGAAGATGAAGCCTCGATACATGGCCAAGGTGGTGCCTGACCGCATCTTCTCCGTCGCTGTTCATCCCTCGGTTGACAAGACCGTCGTAGTGGCTGGTGATAAGTGGGGAAAGATTGGACTTTGGGATGTGGTAAGTAGACAGAACCTTTTATAGCCATGAGATGGCAAAACAATGTACATTAAAGCCCCACTGTTCTACTTGTAGCTACTTGCTCCCTCTATATAGAAAACTTCCCTAATCTGTGCCTGTTGGTCCCTCATGATCCTCTTTTTCTTATGTTAGTTGAGAGCTGAGTTGATGAGATAGCCACCTGTCAGTGACCTCGCTGTGTTGTCTAATCCCTTCTGGCCCAGTAGTATTGACGCTCTTTAACACGTAGCGTATCTTCCAGTAATTCAGTTTTATTAAAGTTCTATTTTGTAGTTTCATGAGAGACAAGCCGACAGGCCAGAGGGGGCTACGGTATAATATACTAGTAGTACATATACATGTAACTACAGGTGGGCGTTTCACAAAAACTTGTCATCAGTGACAAATGACAGGTTTTGTTATAAGCTACTGAAATCCTTGTTTCTGATTGGTTATCAGCAGATTTGTCACTGATTTTTGTCACTTGTCATTTAAAAAAGGCTTCCTGAAATGCCCCCACCCCCCGGACATCCTATGATATATTTACATTACCTTTGTTCTTGTACTGACATAGAATTCCACTGAAGGTGACGATGGTGTCTTCCTGTTTGCTCCGCACACCAGGCCTGTTAATTGCCTTAGATTCTCACCCAGCGACCCTAACAAGCTCTTCTCTGTTTCATATGATGGAACAGTTCGATGTGGCGACTTCGCCAAAGCCGTGTTTGACGAGGTATGCATTGTTAACACATAGCTACTTACTGTTACCTGTTCGACTGTATATTACTTTTATTATTTTATCCAGAGTGCTCTGAATTACAAATTGTACATGAACATGCAATAATAATAATAATAGTAGCAGTAGTAGTAGTAGAAGTAGAAGTAGAAGTAGTAGTAGTAGAAGTAGTAGTAGTAGAAGTAGTCATAGTCGTAGTAGTAGTAGTAGTAGTAGTAGTAGTGGTGGTAGGAGTAGCAGTAGTGAAGTAGTAGTAGTGGTGTCAACTTATAGAGCACACACCATCCAGGGACGCTCATGGCGCTGGAATGTTCGTCTACCAAGTGTAGATCTTGTTTGTTTTGCTTCTTGTTGTTATTTTCTCTTTCCGTAATATATTTGATTTTTTTTTCTTAATTGTGTATACTTTGCAGACTGCACCATTTTTCTCTAACTACATATTGGTACACAGACAGTATATTTTTTTCTGTATATTTTTTTTTTCTGTGAAGGATAATAAATGGATCCATTGAATGTTCAAGAGGATAAACACAGAGAGAAATTAAACAATATGATAGCAAAGTCTACTTTGAAAGAAGACCAGAGTCGAACAATAAATAGTCCTAAATCAAAGAATGCCAATATGTTTTCTTGGAGGATGAACTATTTAAATGTAAAAATTTGAAATACTAGCCATCTTTTTAATCAGCCCAAGCCAGTTCTAAGCATGTTTATATTGACAGAATAATAGATGAATAAATAAATAAATAAATAAATGTAAACAACAAAAGAAAGACATAACTAGCTAAATGAATAAATGAAGGAAGACCTTATAAATAACTAACTAATTTATTAAAAAGAGGAATAACTAAGTAAGTAACTAGATAAATAAATGAATGAATATTAACTGCATGAGTACACCAAAAATTGATAAAATAGATAAATAAAGAAACAAATAAAATAACGAACAAAAAGACTACTAAAAAAATTAACAAACAAAAGAACTAATTAAAAATAAAGTAACTAAGTCACTGCTGGATATTTTTTTTCGTCCATCAGGTATATGTGGCAGATGAAGATGAAGTTATCTGGACCAACTTTTTTGATTTCATGTCGGCAGACGGTAGCTCCCTCCTTGTAACGCAGAATGATAGGACTGGAAACGTAGTTGTAGTTGACACGCGATCGAGGTAAATAATAATGTTATCGTATCGATAATAGTAACAATGATGAGACTATTGGGTTCTTGTATTGCACCCATGTCTGGCACATTAATAATAATACTACAGTATTTATTATGCTCCATCGATCGATCTAGTAAACTATTCTGAGGCGCAGAGGGAGACTATTACCTAGTCTGCAAGCACAGACCCTAATTTGACACTTTATCTAAAAATCGTTGTGCCTTGAGAGAAGCCTAGCCCAGCTACCTACTGGTTGTGTAGGAGCAGCTACAGTACATGGCCTATGGTAGTCTTATAGTGCAGACTCACTTTTACGACTGACCAGGGTTTGTGCTTGCAGACTAACTATTACCCTGGCCTTAGCACGGCTGCCATTACAGCGCTCTAGCATTTATAGGAATTAATTCCTGCCAGGTACCCATTTACATCACCTGGGTTGAGTGTGGCTAATGTAGATCAATGTCTTGCCAATCTACATTGGTGCCACCCCAAGTCCCTGTTTCATGAAATTTGTCATCAATAGCAAATTATGCCAAACTTCTCTGATAAATTTGCTTTCAGCATATGAAACACCATGATTTCTATTTTTGAATATTGTTTGTTTTTTAAACAGAAAGGGTGGAGAGAATGTTTACAATGTACATTCAAGGAATGCAAAGACAGTCTCGGTCCACCCCACAATGCCACACTACTTCGTCACAGCTTCAACTGATCGGTAAGCCTCCATCTTTTCATATGATTATCATGATTGCTTCTTAAAGGTAATACAAAGTTTTGGTATGGGGTCATGAATTTGGTTAAAATGAACATATTGGAAGCATATGCGATTCTACAATATTCAGTGATTGTTGTCGCGGTTCAAATCGATTGTAAAGTGATGAAATTGTGAATAATAAACTCTTCATGTTGTATAGCCCCCTCCCAAGATGATATTACTTTAGCTTAAAAACAATGTTTCTTGACTAAAATCGATTGATTTTCTATTCCCGTTTGGAAATTATATATCGGAACTGCATATTCTGAGATTTTCATGGTTGCAGCTACCATTGTATGGTCGTCGGTGCCTCATTAGATGTTGGAAACCCTCTGAATTGAGATATATTATCAGTTGTTATTTTTTTCTTGTAGTACTGCTGCATTGTGGGATATCCGCAGCATGAAGGGAAAGGGAACCAATAAACCAATTGCTGAGATGCCTCATTTTAAATCTGTCAGCTCTGCATTCTTCTCACCGATCACTGGTTCAAAGATCCTTACAACATCTCTGGATGACAAAATCAGGTAAGAACAGAACGTAGCAGAACTTAAAGCCATACTGCACTATTTATAGCTACTTGCGCCCTCTATATAGCAAACAATGCCTAATCGGTGCCTGTTGGTCCCCCATGATCCCCTTTTTCTTATGTTAATTGAGAGCTGATTTCATGAGATAAACACCTGTCAGTGACCTTGCAGGAAGGTCTATCTCCCCCTGGCCAAACTAGTGCAGAGGCGCTTTAAAGCCATACTGACTAGAAGCACTACCGCAAAAGTGCCGTCTCGGGTTAGCTGTAGCAGTATGGTCCAGTAATTTGATGCTTCTCAAGCTGCGCTGTTGGTTTTCGCATCGAGTCTTCCGTGAAGTAGGAATTCGGTATTGGGTTTAGTACTGTTCACAGGTACACCATGAGATGGCGCTGTACAATACACAGTCAGAGCCATCTATTCACAGAGTTTGGCCAACTTGGTTTCACTGGGTCACAACATGGCGTATATTCTTTTTTGTGCTTGCCCAACAAAGCAACAGTCGCCATATTGTGACCAACTCAAACCGGGTTGGCCAAACATTCCTAATCAAAGGCACTGCACAGTATGCTTGGGCAGAAAGTTCATCAGTTCAGTAATGTTTATTTATGGTAATGTTAATTTTTCTGTTTTATCATTGTCTTATTCATGCATTGTGTTACATTTCATGTATATATGTGTGTAGTTTTATAAAGGATGACAGTGTAAAACCACTGTCTAGGCCACCCTAGGTAAAAAAAGACAAACAATAAATATAACTTAAGGGAGGCCCTGTGTGAAGGAGAGTCACCACCTCTGCACATTAAGAACCCACTGCACTATTTCTATTAGTGTGGTTGTAGGACACCTACCCCCTGGACATTCACCCTCCGGATAACCACCCCCAGTCAACTACCACCCAGGCAACTACCCCCCCCCCCCCCAAGACAACTACCCCCTATGACGACCATCTCCCCTGGACAACTATCCTAGGGGGTAGCTGTCCTAGGGGTAGTTGACTGGGGGTGGTCATCCGGGGGATGGATGTCCAGGGGGTAGGTGTCCAGATACAGTATTAGTGTAGGGGGAAACCCCTTGTCCACCTACTCACTGAATCAGTTATACCGGAAGGAGAGACCAGAGTGTTACAGTGATTCAGTTTGCTTTTCCACTTCCGGGCAGGCGCAGGTTAAGCCAAATAATTAATGAAATTGATAATACTGTTGCCATCTTCAAGAATTGCCTGAAAAAGAGTATCACAAGGCAAGGTGCTCGAGATTTAACTGGAGTTCTGACTTTGATGAATTACAATTCAAGTATAATCAGCTTACTGACCCTATAGTGTGCCAACAGAGTTTGTGAGGAATCTTGTGTTATTCTAGCTATCATTGCTACAGACATTGCCAATAACCGGCTGGCTGTACGTCTACTTTCATGCAGCCAATCACAGCCCCTTTTTTTTTCTTCACGCTCTGTTTTTGTAGCTTATGCATATATTGTCTAATTTCTGCTTTTTGTTCCTTCTTGCGATTTACTCCGTTGAGTCCAAGATGAAAAAGCTTCAATATGTCTGTTTTCGTTGCTATTCTTAACGAGATAACGGTGAAATTTGTCTCTTTACAGCATCTTTGAAACTGAGAGTGCTAAGGAGGGTAAAGTGACCGGTGTAAAGAGAACTTTGTGGCAGAGGTAAGTTAACCTTATTTAAAGGGATCTGGTAACTAATTTGTCTCAGATTCTGAAACAAAATCCTGGATTTACCTCATGCTGCAATGATAATTATAAACCTTAAGGTCAGTCAGGAACCCCATGACTTTTACAAGCCTCCATCTTTTCATATGATCATCGTGATTGCTTCTTAAAGGGATTGGGTAACTTTGTCTCAGATTCTGAAAAAAAAAATCCTGGATTTAGCTCATGCTGCAATGATGATTATAAACCTTTAGGTCAGTCAGGAACCCCATGACTTTACAAACCAATCGCCTGTCTGATTATCAAGATATCTATAATTGGAAATCAAAATCAAACTTTGCGTTTTCCTAACGGTTTTCATAACACTATAGTCTATTGGGGAAAACGAGTATGGTAAAACCGGTCACTCAAAGATTTTTACTTTTTTGAGGCACTTTTTTTTAGGGCTTCAATATTACACCATATCACAGACACTGATGACACGTAGGGCCATGCATCTGAAGCGATCCACGGCGAGACAGCCCGGTGGCCAAAGCCGCCCCGCCTAATACCGACTCAGAAAATGTTAAAGTATAACTTTAGTTCTTGAAGTGTAGAAAACGAAGATAAATCAAAGTCACTAAAACAAATTCTTGATTGGAGTTGAAGATTTATTAAAATAAACATAGAATTAATAAAATCACGAAGTTCATGTTTTGGGGCTGGGCAACCCAATTGAAGCAAATTAGCAACTCATGTCGGTATCGTAACGGAAAAGAGGTCCCGCTCCAGAGACGCAACTCGGTTTTTATCCCCCCGAACTGACACGCCTCGTCCTCCCAAAAATGAGGCGTGTCACACCGACGCTTTGCGTAATATCAATCCACCCATAATTAGTTTCCATATTAAAAGGTCCTATATTTCTTGGCGAATTTACCCCCCCGGATATAAGGCGCTCCGGATGATCCGCATCTCTATTCCTCACATACTTCTTTCACGCACCCACCTGTGTCTCTTACATTCTAATCTTTCAAACAAGAGATGCAAATCACCCGGAGACCCAACAACCCTGGAAATTAATTCAATGAATATAAAAAGGGATAAATGTTGCTATGTCCGTCCACACTAGCGAGCCCACATGCTTCTGGCTATTACACACCTGTAATCCTCACTTCCTCTCTCATACTATTTCGATAGTGTGAACAGACCCGGCAACAAGGAAAAACCCTTCCAATTGTAATACAAATCTATTTCCCAAATTTGCCTAATTAAATTTAAGTCAACTGTGGCGACACGCCCAGCGACACCTAATCCAATCGGCCAAGCCGAAAAAGTAGAGCCAAAATTAAGAGCGCAACGTCTCGGAACAGGTGTTAAAAATAGCATACAAGGAATTCACCATGTATGTTTGTAAACATAGTTTTAGCGAAATCTACCAGGAATTTGCCTTGTACATGTACGTCGATGAGCCTTTGAGGAAAACGTAAACACGAGAATATCCATATCATTACACATCTCAGATTTAACATTGTTAAACGATGCCTTTAAAGGTAAAGGGTTGTTAGTTTTCATGTGCAGAAGATCATGATTCACTGACACCAGACTTGGTGGAAATCCTTTTAATGGGTGTACAAGTCTGCCCTCAGCAAACCCATAGGCCAATCAAGAAACACCCCCTCCTCTCTTGTAGAGTCTTGATGCAAATGTCGGGTTATGATTTTACCATATAGGGGGAAAGGCAGAGGATTACATAAAGCCTGAACATAAAACTGAAGGCTAATCCTGGTGATTGACGACGCCTCTTAATGGGTAAACATTCGAATGGTGCCAAATTCTCCAACAGATGCCACTCCTATGTGTCTTTAAATTGTAAACAGTGTGGTAACAGCTAGATGAACAATCTTTTCATCTTAAAGCTAAACCTGGGTCCTAGTAAAAAAGAAAATGAATTCTCACAGAATCAAACAAAACTTACACTGAATGTTCAAGATTACAAATAAATGTCATTTGCCAAACAATTTTGGTAGAAAATGTATACTGGCTGAGTAATGAGCATAGAAAGATAAGGAAATCAAGGTAAGTAGGCCCGACACCATTTGTGTAGTCCCATATACATCTTTCTGTGTACAGTGCTTGTAATACTTTACCAAGACTGGGCCAAATTAATTATGTTTTGATGACTCCAGAACCTTGCAGTACACACCAATACTTAAAGTACATGCTACATGATCAACTTTTTCTGATCTATTCCACACCTTTTCTTTCAAAATGCAATTGCATGACCAGAACTCAACTTTATCTTTAACTTTGTTTCTTCTAGCCATAACAACTGGACCGGCCGATGGTTAACGGTATTCCGTGCAGCCTGGCATCCCAGACGAGAAGATGCCTATGTTGTAGGAAGCATGTGCCAACCACGAAGGGTAAGAACAAGTTTTTTTACCCATCAAAGTTTAAAAAGGACTTTATAATTTTTTCAAATCACCTTTCTTTCTCACACTTTGCTTCTGTGATTTCTATATCTGCTGCTTTCTCTGATTGCTGCAAACTTAATATGCATGAAAGGATAAAACAGAGGGTGCATCATAGTGACATTTTGTTTTAAAGTTAGGATTTCAAAAAGTTGCCATAAAGCAATTTCAGATATGACATATTGAACTGATGAAAAAAAAGGCTCAGATTTGTATCCGTGCAAATGAATGGCAATGGCTTGCCCGTTCATTGAGCTCTATGTCTTCAGATACAGAAATGCGAAGCATATTACACTTTAGTTTATCATAAAAACGAGGCTATAATCGGTATAGCATTGATACATTTGCTGATTGTTGCATTTATCAAAATAAAAATAAAATCTTGGAAGCAGTTTGACAGAGATGCTTGTTCTTTCAGGATGGACTTGTGATGTATTTCTCAGTTCTCATTTTGACCGAGTTTGTGTTCCAAAGAATGTACATGTATTTTGGGATTTTATTATTCAAACATCTTAAATATATTTCATTGGATCTCTAACTTCTGCTGGAACCTTGCTGGAAGCTGGAATCTTACAATCGCATCTTTCAGAATGTCTTGATACAACATTAAAGATAAAGACCAGTTATGGTCATGCGATTGCATTGTGAAAGAAACGTTGTGGAATCGATCAGAAAAGGTTAATCATCTAGCATATAAGTATTGGTGTGTACTGCAAGGTTCTGGAATCATCAAAATGATAAGAAATTTGGCCCAGTCTTGGTAAAGTTACAAGCACTGTACACAGAAAGATGTACATTGGACTACGCGACATGTGCGCGACAGTTCCAAATAGATATAATAATTTACCAAATATATCAATTAGTAGACGGTTTCTCAGCAAAATTTGTATCATCTCGTATTAGTCAAAATATATTCTTTCACATGATTGGTAATTAGAGCTTCCATTTCATTTTTTGAGAGGTGGGCAGTTCCAAAATTGATTTTTATCTTTAAAATGAATCACAATTCCTGATTGGCGACTTGAAGGACATTTCAAACAATAACACATCTTTTTATCTCTGCTTTTGTGTTAGATCGAGGTGTTTAGCTCCAAGGGGAAGCTCGTCCATCAATTCTTTGACGAGTACCTCGCATCGGTGTGTTCTATCAACGAATTTCATCCTACAAGAGATCTGCTGGTGGGTGGCAACTCCAGCGGGAAGCTTCATGTCATCATGGCATAAACCAGGGGGGCGCTTCACAAAACTTGTCATCAGTGACACATGACAGTTTTTGTTATAAGCTACTGAAATCCTTGCTTCTGCAGATTTGTCACTGGTTTTCGTCATTTGTCATTGGAAAAAGGCTTTGTGAAATGGGTCCCTCGAGAGGTCACTCTGCCACCGTTTCATCTGCATCGTGGACATCTTAGCTGGTCTTGGAGGTTTGTTATTTCTTCTAGTGAGAACTTGGATCAGTGCGCTCTTTAAAGACCTTTCATTCCACAAGAGACTCCAGCGGCGATCTTCATGTCTTCATAGCCTAAACTTTAGCCAAGAGAGTAAACTACATTGTAGGAGAGGCCGTTCTGCCCGATATCATCTGCATCGTGGACATTCAAGTTGGTCTTGGAGGTCCTTTATTTCTTCTAGTGAGAACCTTGGATCAGTGCGTTCTATCAAGACCTTTCATCCCACTAGAGACTCCAGGGGCGATCTTCATGTCTTCATAGCCTAAACTTTAGCCAAGAAACTAAAACAGTGTGAGTAAATTAGACGAGGCCATTATGACACTATTTCATCTGCATCCTGGACATTTAAGTTGGTCTTGGAGGACCTTGGATCAGTGCGTTCTATCAAGACCATTCACCTCACAAGAGACTCCAGCGGCGATCTTCATGTGAACTTCAGCTATGAGAGTATGTTTTGACTTGGCTTAATTGGCACTTGGGCACTTGGACACTTTAGTTGGCCTGGGCCCCCGTTTCATAAAACTTGAAATCAATAAATTTATTTTTACATCAACTTACCTGCAAATTGGATATTAAAGGTACTATGTCCCTTTTGCAGCCAACCTCAAATTCTGTAGAACTTTGCAGGAATTATGAATATGTCATGTATGTCCTATCTGTGAAATTTAAACGTTAGCAGTGTCCTAATATTCAAATTATGCAAGGAAACCAGTTTACTTGCTAGACTTCACTGTCAGACACTATTGAGTGACTGACTGGCTTATTTCTTGTTTGGTAATAACATACATAAAATGAGCTGTAAAGTGTACATGAGCATTTGTCTACATCAACAACCCACTTCTTGTGATGGCCAAAATTAAACTGATTGAATCTTTGCGCATGCAGCATAAAACGTATGAACATTCGGTGCAATGGTCTGAAAATCAAGACTATTACTTATTACTTATAATGCATCATGTTAAGGGATGCATTATGTGGGAGAGAGATAGAGTTGATGATAATTATGAATGATATATAGATACAAACGGGTAAACATGATTTTTACGATGTGTAAATTTTCAAGAATGTAAAATGTTGTGTAAGGTACATGTAGTTATACTCTGTCGACTTGGATAGTTAAGGCAAATGTAGTTTCACAGGAAACTGCATGCTGCTGTTTAAAGATAAAGTTGAGTGCTGACCATTGCATTGTGAAATGAAGTGTGAGGAAGTGACGGGAAAAGGTTGATCATGTAGCAGATAAATATTTGTGTAGACTGTGAGGTTCTGGAATCATCAAAATGTTAAGAAATGGCCCAGTTTTACAATATGTCACATGCACTGTAAACAGAAATACGTAATATATGGGACTACACAAACTTGTGGCAAGAAATATTGTTACAAATTAATTATCAATGATAGTATGTAAAAACAGTAAGAAAAAAATTATACAAAATCAGAAAATATTTGTATACAGACTTTACTCTGAAGAAGTCTTCTCATTTGAGAAGATACATGTTGCAAATGGTTTTATATTCATCATGCAGTATTACTTCGAAGAGAAAATGAAAGGAGCAAAATATAATCATGAAAGTCTTGTTCTGTAGAGTGTATTGACTATGTACATTTTTTCTGAAAATTAGTCTTGTATTTGTTATACGTGTAGATGGTGTTAATATATAGTCACCTTTGTGAGTTTTGTATTATTAAAGAGTGTAAATAAAGCTTTTCTATTAACAAGATTTTAGTTGTCATCTCATCATATTTGCGTATATATATTATGCCATAAAAACATGAGTGATGATGATTGGTACTCGATTGACTGAGAGGAGATAGAAAGAAGGAAGAAGAGAAGAGGGTACAGAAGGAAAATGAATGAAAGGAAATGAAGAGCAAGGATATTGTGTTTGAAAACGAGTTGAGATGATACAAAGCATTGTTGCCATATGGTCATCTCGATCACCCAAAAGTTTAGTGATTTGTGTGATTTTTTTTGGGAGCATTTTGGGGTGATTTTGAAGAAAAAAGGTAAATAATTAAATGAATAAATGAGAAAGTGAGAGGAAAAACATCCATTTTGACCAGCTAACATCATTTATAGAAGTTCATTCGGGCCTTTGCCACACAATATCAACCACTTGTCAGTACAGGTGATTTAACATGTATATTAAATGTATATTGTGCGATACAAGTTCACTGAGGAATTTATTTCAAGTACCTAGGTAAAACAAAATCAAAAGCATACTACAAAGTGGATGTTTATAGGTTTTTTCTGTGATTTGTAATGTCTTCATTTTAATGTTGTGTCTTGTGATGTATTAGGTACAATAACATAAAACAATTAATTTCAGAGACACTAGCGTACAGATGGGGGCTTGGGAGGGGCAGTTCACACCCCCCCCCCCCCCCAAAAAAAAAAAAAAAAAAAATTATAATAATAATTCAACCATGGTTTTTTGCTAATAAAGTTCGATACCAGGGGTTTACAGATGTTGCTGTAATTACATGATTTTCCGTTTTTTTCTTTCTCTTTTTCCCCATTATGCCAGAGGCAGCACTCCTGGAGGGGGGGGGGGGGGGGCACTATGCCCCCACTTTTTCAGGTATCCCCATAAAAACCCTTTTTACATAAGAAAAGTGCCCCTTTTCTTGTATGATAACTGTCCTCTTCCCTTTTAATAAGTGCCTTCTTTTCCTTTCTCTATAACATGCACCTCTAAATCAAGGCGACTTAGAGCCCGGTTTTTCTTTAATTTTCCCTAGAGCTTGCTCACTACGCTCGCTTGCATATATAGATGTTTTTACAGCATTATATAATCATATAGGTTCTAGGACAATTACCCCCTGGGCAATAATCCCCCCTCTCCTGGCCAATTACCAGCAGGACAAAATCCCCCACCCCCCCTGCAAATGAACCCCTCAGATAATTAACCCCTTTATTAAAACTTATTATCAGGGTAGACTTTCCCTTTAAATGAACGGGGGGGGGGGGGGGGGGGGGGGGGGGAGGGGGGTAATTGTCCACGGGGGTATACTAATTGTCCTACGAGGGAATTGTGTTTAATTCCTTGGGGGGGGGGGGTAGTTTTCGAGGGGGTGATTGTCCCGATACGACACAAATATGATGGAATGACAACTTAAATCTTGTTAATAGAAAAGCTTTATTTACTCTTTTCAATAGTATACAATACTAATAAAAGTTACTATACATGTATATTTTTTGTATCTACCTGTAAAGTGACAACATAAATTTTTCGTAAAAAACTGTACATACCGGTATTCAATATACTTTACATAAGATAAGAAGACTTTACAACTTCTTTTCTTCTCTTTTCTTTTCAAAGTAATACTGCATGATAAACATAAACATTAACATTTGGCACGTGCATCTACTCATATAAGAAGACTTCTAATAGACTACCGGTAAAGTCTGTGTACAAATTTTCTGTTTTTGTATAATTTAGTCCTTTATTTTCTTACTATTGGTACAATTGATACTTAATTTGAACACACATTTCTTGGCACAAGTTTGTGGAGTCCCATATGCACATTTCTGTGTATGGTGCGTATGATCTAAAGCAAACCCGAGCCAATTTCTTACCATTCTGATGCTTCCAAAACCTCACGGTATACACCAAAAATCTATCTGCTACATGATCAATCTTTTTCAATATCTTCCTCACGGCTCATTTCACAATGCAATGGTCAGAACTCCACTTTATCTTTCACAGTTTTCTGTGAAACTACATTTGACCAAGCGACCTAAGTTTATAGAGTACTACATGTACCTTGCTTGTAGCTAACACATCGCAAACGATAAGTTAACCTTATTGTATCTGTATATTAACATTGTCATCAACTTATTTTTCTCAATGCGTATGGAAATTTACATAACCACGTATCTTGCAATATGTGGTTGACGGTCATTTTTTTTTTGGGGGGGGGGGTGGTTGAGGGGTTGAGTTACATACCATTATGGTATTCGCATATAAGAGACATCATAGATTTCTGAAAGTAGATATTACTTTACTTACAAAGGTTTTATGTAGTGCTCTTTCCGTCCATTAACTTTAGAAGAACTGCCCCTGCAAGGGTAAATTATCACAATCAATAATTCTACATTTTCCAATCTCTTGTTGGAAAAAGGGTTCTTGTCCCTGTAGTAGTTTCAAAGCTTTTGGCACAGACAAGACTTTTATATTTCAATACATGGAAATTAACTACTGGGTTACGCACTGTTGGAAAGTTGACCATTAGATGGCCCTGCAATATACAGTATGCTACTGCAGAAAGTTCATTAGTTCAGTATTGCTTTAATATCCAATTTGCAGATAAGTCAAAATAAACTCTGCTAGTTTCACCAAAGGAGCATGAAGGGCTTCCTGCTCATTATAAGTGAAAATGGACATCCAAGAGTAACTTAATTAAATGTCAGCATTGCAGATGAAATCACCTCTCCTGGGGGAAATTTCACAAAACTTGTCATCAGTGACAAATGACTTTATTTGTTATAAGCTACTGAAATCCTTGCTTCTGATTGGTTATCAGCATATTTGTCACTGATTTTTGTCATTTGTCATTGAAAAAAGGCTTTGTGAAACGAACCCCAGGTCTACGCCATGAAGACATAGAGCTTCCCGCTGGAGTTTCCACCGCCTCCACCCACTAGCAAATCTCTTGTAGGATGAAATTTGTTGATAGAACACACCGATGCGAGGTGCTCGTCTAAGAAATGATGGAGGGGCTTCCCTCTGGAGCTGAATACCTCGATCTAAAACAAAAGCAGAGATAAAAAGATGAGTTATTGTTTAACATGTCATTCAAGCCGCTAATCAGTAATTGTGATTCATTTTATTGTTGTATGAAATACGAGATTGTAAGATTCCATCTTCCAACAAGGTTCCCGCAGAAATTGAAGAACCAATTTATGAAATTCCATGACCTGCCATGACCCATATTGGCCTTTATCACTGACCAGATACAAAGTATACAGTCAAACCTGTCTACAGCGACCACCCAAGGGAAACACAAAAAGTGGTCTTTGTATACAGGTTCCTTTAGTGAATGTTTCAATGAGAAACCATTTCCAAGGGAAACTAAAAATGTAGTCCTCGTAGACAGGTGGTCACTAAAGCAGGTTTGACTGTTTCTTTAATGTTGTATCAAGACGTTCTGAAAGATGCGATTGTAATGCCTCAGTCACACCTTTGCGTATTGGGCTTGCGTATTGCTGCGTATTGCCCGAACGCAGACATAGGCAGTCATACCCAATAAAGCGCAATGAAACGTGCTCACTGCGTACTCAATACGCAGACTAGCGCAAAGGCCTGCGTTTGCCGCTCGCTAGTTTTAAAATTTTCTAAACTATCGCAAGCAAACGCAGAGTTAAATCATCTACGAGCGGATACGAGTGGCAACCAGTGAATGCGAGCAACAGCGAGTGGCTTAGCGCAAGTATACGCAACCATACGCACCTCTTTTTTTTGGAACGCGTGTCACTGCCTATAGCTGCGTTCCCTGCACGATTTACCTCGCAGGAGCTCGTTGTCGTTCGCATGATTGCGCGTATTGTTACGCTGTTGCTCGCCTACCACTCGCAGCAGCAAGAACTGTTGCAA